GGGGGTGGGGGGGGGGGGGGGGGGGGGGGAACTAAATAGTTTCTTAGTATTTTGTTTTCGGTCAATTGTTTATTATTATGAGAGAAGTTGATGATAAAAAATTAACTTCACTCGAGATTCATTGTTCTTGGATTTTAATTTAATATAATTTTAGTTCCTTTGTTTTTTGGGGGTTTCAAATGATTAATTGGTTATGATTTTTCTTGATTACTCAATTCTTGAAAGAGAGTGGATTAATTATGTTTAGAGGCAGTATAAACAGTAATGGATTTGCAAGATTTTAAGGTATTTGAGTGTGTAGGAATTTTAGGCATTAACAGTTGTAGAATTAATGAATTATTGCTCGATTAAAGTCTGTAATGACTAGATTAAAGTTTGATTTGTTTGATTTTGAAAATCATTATATTGTGAATATGTTGGAGTCTCTATTAGTCTATTTAATTGATTAATTATGTTTAGAGGCAGTATAAACAGTAATGGATTTGCAAGATTTTAAGGTATTTGAGTGTGTAGGAATTTTAGGCATTAACAGTTGTAGAATTAATGAATTATTGCTCGATTAAAGTCTGTAATGACTAGATTAAAGTTTGATTTGTTTGATTTTGAAAATCATTATATTGTGAATATGTTGGAGTCTCTATTAGTCTATTTAACAATATCAAGAATGTCTATGTTGGAGTCTCTGTTAGTCTATTTAACAATATTAGAATGTCTTGTTAAATGTGAGCATCTTAAACTTCAAATAAAAAAATGATGAGAAATTTGTTTAATGGAATTGTTTTATTGGTACAATGTTTGCTTGATTTTTCTAAATTTTTTGGTACAAATACAAGTGACCATTTGCAAGTTCACATCTCCTTTGTCGGGGATAAACACATTTAGGTCAAATGGATAACTAATAATAAATCTTTATCTTTTATTTCTGTATCGTACGTATAAGATAACTGGATGCACAAAGGGCTATGAATTTGTGAGGTCAGGTGATAAAGCGAACAACTATGAGCCATGGCTAAGATAACTGGAAGGTATTGTTCAACCAAGCCCATGCTAATTGGCTTGGCTGCTAGCAAACAAAAAGTGGGTGATCATGTTAAATGTATGATTTACCCTTCATCCTTGTGTGAGTAATATCATGTGTGCTCCACAAAGAGCAAGTGGTAGCCCAATTCTCTGTGCATATGTTTTATGGTGCTTGACGAATACTTACTCCGTGGAGCATTACACTCAAGTCGAGGAGAAATGAAGAAAAAATATTATGATTCAAAATAAATTGTCATGGTGCTTGCTATTGGCAATGAATATCACAAATAGCCTTTCTTCAATCAACGCATATATCTCCCGTCAATACTTATATATTGAACATGCTAACATTAGCTTCAAAATGTCGTGACCCGTGCATTGCACGGGCAAAGACCGGTCTTCATGAAAGATGCACTTTACTACTACATAAAATCAAAACTCGAACTAGTCCATGTCTACACTTTGTGCCTAGATAAATACATTTTACATTGTATGTGTGTGAATTTACAGGGTTTTTTTTATATCATTTGAATTACTCGCAACTTTCTTTCGTGTTCATCATGTTGAATTGCTTCAGTGATCTATCTGCACCTCATATACGCCACTGAAGCTTATCAACTGGTGCCACCATCTCTCCTGGTTACCTGCATGATCAGCCAGAAATTTACGTATCCCTCAACTATCTGTCGGCAGGAAAAATAGATTAAAAACTTCCTAAACATGGAATCCCATATCCCTTGGCATTCTGGTGTTCTTTAAGCTTCAATCTTTTACCAGTGAAAGAACTTCAATTCACATGTTATCATCTATTTGCCTTCTATAATTACTTCCTCGGAGTCATCCACATATCACATGCGCAAGATTGCCCAAAACTTAAAGTCATAATGGGGCAAAAGTGACCCCTATTGAAACTGAAAGATGAAGAACCGACAATTGGTTTGTGTCTCATGTTCTCAATTCTTGACATTCATGTGCCACACATCCATTTATTTGTATACAAAAATAAGAAAAAAGCAGCAACATACACAATTGGTCACGTGATTCTGAAGTTCCAAGAACAAAGTGCAGAATGACGCGAACAATATTAAAGAGGAATAAGAATAAGTTTGCCACATTACCTTATGCAGCACGATAATAGAGCAGGATTTCCTTGATCATCCAATTCAATCACTGATAGTCAGTAAAAATGAATTACTATATGGCAGAAAACGATCAGAATTCGCCCTGATTTACGTGATTCTTATATCAATCCAACCTATCGACAGAAAAATGAGACGAATTATAGAGGGACCAAAACATTGGTTTGAGGCTGAGCACATACCAAATTACTAGGCATAGCAAGTCATTCCAGATGGAGAGCTTCAATTTGTAAGCAACAGTTGTTGAATTCAGTTCTAAAATCCTTCAATCAGAGAAAAAGTGATAAGCGTGTTCTTTCTGGAAAACTGGAATCATTTAATCAGTATAGAAGAAAATAACAAGATCATTCTGTTATGTTATTAATATTAATCTTGTGATTTCACAAATAAAAAACCAAACATTTATAGAAAAGATATTTGGTGAGCCTAAATTTTTCTTAAACAGAATTTCAAAAATTTTGGAAGCAAAAGTGCCCGCACCCCCCCTCCAAAAAAGAAAAAAAAAATTAAAAGCTGCCTCAAAAAGGGAAAAGAATGGGGAACAAGGTGAGACTCACAATTGATCAACCTCTGTTATATTCTTCTTCACGGCTGTAGCATTATAAAAAAACAGCATTGTCACATCAGAAATCGAGTAATGCCCACACTTCCAAATATTCAAGTTCCCCATTCAAATGAGATCCATGAGAGTTTATGGAGTTAATCTACTCATTGCAGCATGACAACTTAAGCTGTGTAGGTTTTGTTCTTTCTCTTCTTTCGTTCTTCGTCTGTTGCAAAGAATATACTTCATGTATTAAATCAATATCAGTTTCATCAGAGAAGTGTGCTAAATGATGCAAAATGGTTGTCTTAGTCTTATTCCAGTAAGTCACAGACATGCAATTTTAGTGGACGCCTTCCAGTGTAATGTGCATCATTTTGCTATTTTTTTGTATTAAGATTGTGTAAAACCAAACTTAATTTTAGTTTTCTAAAAAAGTGTGAATTTTATGGTTTACAATATCTGCCTTAAAAAGTTAACAGTAAAAATTGAATCGAACAGCATGCAAATGATGGTTTATGGCTACCGAAGAACTAGTTTCATCAACCAATTTGGTGGTTAACATGAACAATCTTTTTGATCCATGATCTGCAAACTAATGGTTCCTACCCTATACCCTATATTCATTCACCTTAAATTACAGATCATTATGGAATCAAAAGAGGATAATATTTTTCATGCTTTAAGGTAGCAAAATATTACTGTAAATAAGGATAGCATAAATTCTAAGTGTGTTGAGAGTCATCTGCATTCTCTGGTTCAAACATCACACCAACTTCGGCCAGGATTCTTTTGGATCCTCTTGTCTGCCATCAACTTCCTCACCAGAGCTGATTGCTCCCAATCACCAGCTGAGGCCAATATGCTCGATAACTGTACAAAAGCACCCGAGTTCTTAGAATCAAGATCCATAATCTGCCGGGCCACTTTCTTAGCAAGAGGTTTATCTCCACTACCTAGACACCCTCTAAGAATTGATAACCACATGCTCGCATCTGCTTTGAAAGGCATCTGATCAATAAGATCTATAGCTTCTTGAGGACAACCCACCCGTGCAAGAAGATCAATCATGCAAGAGTAGTGTTCAATACCAGGATCAATATGATAGTCGTGTTTCATTATGTGAAACATATTTTTCCCCTCTTGTACCAGTCCACAATGATCGCATGCAGACAAAACTGCAGTAAATGTGATGTTAGTAGGTAAAACTCCCGCACACCTCATTTCACGAAATAAACTCAATGCTTCAATTCCATAACCATTTACAGCATAACCCATCAACATAGAATTCCAAGAAACCTCGTCAAATTTTACCACTTGGTCAAACAGTTTTCTGCCACTTCTGACATAACCACACTTGCAGTAAAAGTCAATAAGGGAGGTGGCAATGATCTGATCAAAGTCAAGGCCAATTATGGTAGCTCTAGCAAAAACTTGTTCACCCAGTTCAATCAATGCAATGCTGGCACAGGCACTGATCACACTGGCAATGCTGAATTTATCCATACTCATGTTCATCTTATTCATCTTGCAGAAGATATCTAATGCTTCGATTGGAAGCCCATTTTGACTCAGACCCACAATCATTGCGTTCCATGAAATCAAGCTTTTCAATGGCATACTATTAAAGATGCATTTTGCTTCTTCAACTCTCCCACAAGTCGAATAAATGGTGATCATGGAGTTAAGCAAAACAGTATCATAAGTTTTAAGGTCACTGAATAAATTGCAAGCATCATTAGGACTTCCACATTTGGCGTATACATCAATAAAAGCGCTGGCAACAACAAGGTCAAACATAATTCCTAACTTATATACATGAGAATGCAATTGCGTGCAATTTTTCAGAATGCCTATACTACTGCAGGCACTCAAAACACTAGACATAGTAGACGAGTCTCCCCTAACACCCTCCTTGTGCATCCTATCAAATAATAATATAGCTTCCATCGGATCATCATTGGCAATGTATCCTGCAATAATAGAATTCCATATCACAACACAAGGATTAGTCATCAGTTCAAATATTCTTCTTGCTTCATTCACTCTACAGCAGTTGGCAAACCCAGAAATCAAAGCAGACATAGAGTAATCATCCGGATCCTTCATTGCATTTAATACATCACTTGCACTATCCAAATCACTACACTTCCCATACATATTCACAAGTGAACTTCCCAGAACTGAATCAAATTCCATACCATCAACAATCATCCTAGAATGTACCTGTTTTCCCCAATCAAGACTTCCCAAATCCGTGCATGCTCCAACAACAGTGGTATATATGATCATATCCAAACTCGACACACTGCCCATTTGCCCAATTTCTGAGTTCAGGAGATCCTTAAAAAGCCTCAAAGCCATTCTTGGATACCCATTTTTCGCATAGCCATGAATCATTGCATTCCATGCAATCCCATTCTTACTCGGCATCTCATTAAACAATCTACGTGCAACATCCAATTCCCCAGCTTTTGCATACCCCGAAATAACCACATTCCAGGAAAATTCATTCTTGTAGGGCATCGACAAAAACAAATTCAATAAATCATTTTTGTCACCAGATTTTGCGCATCCTTCGAGAACGGTGTTCCAAGTGAATGAATTTCTTTGCGTCATTTCATCGAACATCTTTCGGGCACAAGATATTTCCCCACATCTTACATACATCTGCAACACGCGATTGGCAATGTTGAGAGTGGAAAAAAGGACACCCCTTTTGAGGAAAAGGAGGTGGAGTTGTTGTCCTTGTGGAATGGATTTGTGGGTGTTGAAGGAATTGAGTAAACGTGCATAGGAATGCAAGTCTTGAATTTCCATAGTAAACTAGTGATGCTAACGGCTATTCATTTAAGATTATCTTGTTCGCACTTTATCCATCACTAAAAAATCTGTTAACTTATTTGATGACATGGAAGACGGTTTTCTTGCTTGGCGACTAACGGCGTGCCACATCACCTGCTAATCCACATCAGATTTGAAATCAAAAAAAAAAAAGAAGGGAGAGAGGAAACCTTATTATGCAAAAACTAAAAAAGTGGGTAACGATTTTCACTATGCAAACATGTTTTAAGCATTAAAAAAATGAAACAAAACACCCACAAACCCGACATCTGAGAAATTTGAATGGTACAGGCCATCTGATAAGAAGAGAATGGCAACTGGAAGAGGTGCAAAGCGAGGAATTTTATTCAGTGCAGGCACAATTTAATCAATGCCAAACTTTGAGTTTTTAGCATGGAATTGATAATGATAAAAATATAAACCAATATTACGACAATACTAAAAATGACATTGTTTTGAGACTTAACTATGAAAATCAATATTTAACAAGATAAGTAACTTAAAAGTAAGTTTGATTTATAAGCACAGCCAATCATGCCAAGATGTTAGAAACATTGATAAAAATGAAGCAGCAAAGAACTGAGGCAATGCTCAGTAGTGCAGGGTAAAATGTCAAAAATGTTGTAACTTGTCATATCATCTGGTTAACATTTTAGAAATTTAGCACTTAAGTTCAGATATGAAATACTGAGGCGCATTTGATAGACATTATAGGTCTAGTTAATTGTGAAGATCTAGCACCAACAAAATTGACCGACAGTTCCTTCAGCAGAAGCTCAATATTTAGCAGTCCTATTTAATCGGTAGTAGATAACCCGATGATACTAAAGTTTTTTATTTTAAATAATCAGAAAAAATCCATTTGGTACAGAAGTTAATATAAATGTTTAATTCAAATTATCCTAGCGCTAGGCAGAAAAATAATATTTGATGCTAATCCTTGAAAAAGAAAAGAAGGCATTCAGATGAAATTATTTACCGAACATATTTCTGCAACGTGCCCACCGTTACCTTCTATATTTGCTTCAAAGAAGCATACGTCAGCTAAAATGGGGCCTTAAATATTTGCTATAGTTGGTCTTTCATTATCGAAACGCATCTTGAATATTGCATCTGCATCACCAAGAGCGTCTTCCTTTATCATATAAAATGCACCAGCAAGTTAAGCCCTAACCCCTAATCAGTCTATCATGTAAAATTAAGCAAAATCTATTCTCAATTGAGTAATTCTATGTACCAGATTACCCTCAACCACACTATCAAGTTAAGCCCAAACCAACCTCCATACATTTAAACATATATAATAACAATTCTGCTCATGCACACAAAATAAAATCTTTGCTCAGACAGACGTAATAACATTCAGAAAATAAGTACTCGGAGCAGATTTTGCATAAAAGTATATAGGGACCGCACCACTTACCAGACGAGAGGCCGAGACTTGAGAGGCTAGAGGACGGGACGACTCTGCTCAGACGAATGGGCGAGAGACCTTCCTTTTTCACCTTCTTCTTCTGCCAGCGTTGCGTACGAAAAAGAGGCGACGAGCAGCGCCGCACGCAAAAGAGTGACGACGTGGAAGTGTGTTGTTGATAGTTGTAGTGTTTATGTTGAATGGGTCTCTGTTGGTGAGTGTTGGCTAAGGTGTTTGGCGACACACTAATCTGAACGGCGCGGCTCTACTGTGGTTTTGGGGGGTGGTTTCTTCTTCCTCCTTGCTTAATCGGTATTTTGGGGTGATTTTTATTTGTTATTGTTGGTGTAGTGGTTGTGTGCTGTGGGTATTGTGTGCGGTGGTACGTTGTGCGACGGTGGTGTGGCGGTGTGGCAGTTCGGAAGGCGGCTTTCATGGTGGTGGGTGTTGTGGTGGCGTGGGTTGGGGGAAGGGGGCGAGGGGGGGAGAGGAAATAGCTCTAGATAGCCTAAATAAAAGGGGAAATGAGTTGGAAAGGCCACCCTAATAGACATTTTGTCCAATTGGCCTTTGACCAAAATTATAAAAATAAAAAAATTTTAATTATTTAAAAGTGTCAAAAGACTTTTTTACCCTTAACTTGTAAAACAAAAATGAAGAAGAAATTAGAGTTTTTTCCTAAATTTGTTGAACTCGTGACTTGATCCTTGGATGGAAAGAAAATATTTTAACTTCACAACCATTATGGCAAGTGATGGTCCTTTGTTTTTTGTGAGCAAAATATATATATTACATTTCAAAAAATTGTTTCATTTTCACTTCAAATATAAAATTTAATTAAAATTAAATTTTAACAATAACCCACTGATTGAACCATTGACCCGGTGATTTTTTTCGAGTAGATTATCGGGTTGGCTCTAATATCTATACATTCATGTTCTAACACACACAACATTCCCTTCCTTCGAATTCAAAAAATCTTCCCCTTCAAAATTATCTTCTCGTTAGAATTTGAACTCTTCTTTTTAAGTTTAAGGTCATCTCTTCTTCGTAATAGATCTCCGATGCACCCAAAGTTTTAACATTATCCATAACTTAGCAACTAATTGAAAACAATTATTGAGTCATTTATTCATTAGACACCTATTATAACACGTGAAATTTTTTAAAATAAATTTTATAGTTATATTTTGAAAAAAAAATGGACAAAAAATATTTTTTAAATTTCTATCTTATTAGAATCCAATAATTAGATTTTAATACAAAGCGATGTAGTATATCGATATTGGACTCATTTTAAAGTTTGTAATTAATAAGAACTATTCGACTAAAAAAAAGT